CGTATAAATATTGATCACTCTCAGTATTTGGGCATTTCTTATCAGAAGTACTTTCTGTCGTAGTTGTTTCTGGAGTACTTTCCGTAGTACTTGTATTTGCCGTTGATTCCCCAGTAGTGGCAGATGAACTTTGGTTTTCAGTTGATAACTCAGTACTTGTTTGTTGTGGTGTAGTCGAAATCTGAGTAGTCGTTTCTTCTGTAATCGTAGATAGTCCGGTTGAACTCGTTGGTGTTGAAGATTGATCAGAAGTTGTTGTCGACTGCTGTTCGGTAACAGTGGTTAATTCTGTTGTAGTCGTAGCTTTTTCACTGGTAGTGGATGTTTGGTCAGTTGTTGTTGTAGTTGCTTCACTCATAGTAGTTTGCTCAGTAGTCGATGTAGTTGACTCACTTGAAGAAATATTATCAGTAGTAGACTGCGGACTTGAACCTTTCTCTGTTGTAGATGTTGTCTGCTGAGTGGTAGATTGTTCAATTGTTGTGGATGTAGATTTTATTGTAGTTGTTTCGCTACTGGATTCTTGCTGTGTTGTTGGTTCCGTACTGGCGGTAGTTTGTATTGTAGTGCTTTCACTGCTCGATTGTTGCTGTGTTGTTGATTCAGTGCTAGGATTAGATTGTATTGTAGTAGTTTCACTGCTAGATTGTTCCTTCGTCGTTGTTTCCGTAATAGGAGTAGACTGTATTGTAGTTGTTTCACTGCTTGATTGCTGCTGTGTTGTTGTTTCCGTACTAGGAGTAGATTGTATTGTAGTAGTTTCAGTACTGGATTGTTGCTGTGTCGTTGGTTCTGTACTAGAAGACTGTTGTAGTGTTGTTTGGGCTGTTTGCATTGTTGTTTCCGTAGACATGCTAGTTGTAGTACTTTCATGAATGCCACTAGTAGAAGTCGATGATGCAATACTCCCATTTTGTATTTGTGATCCACCACAGCTACGTGGGGGATAAACAGAGTCTTGATAATTACAAGTCTCAAGAGCAGGATCCCAAATGGTACCTTCACCACATTCAAAGTGGAAAATGGAAAATCGTTGACCATCACCATCCCAATCAACACACCTGTAAAACTTTTTACAGTTGTTAGGGTTAGGAAAATACCCAGCTTTAGTACAAGTTATGTTTTCATTTTTTAAATTTTCACTGCTAGAACAGTTTGATGTTCCTTTACTAGTGTTTTCACTAGATGACACGATTGTTGGCATTGAAGTCGTAGTTTTTGACGTTGAGTGGCTTGACGAAGATGTGGTTTCTGTGGACTGTGGCTGGGTACTTACAGATGAGGTAGTGTTTTTAGGTTTTTCGTTACAAGAAGGTTTTTTCACATCTTTTGGATGATTACATGCCAATATGTCTTGATCCCATATAGTGCCCTCACCGCAAATGTAATCGTACTTATCGAGACCACTTTGCCCATTATTAACGCATCTATAAAACTTTTGACAGTTCTCTTTGTTGCCATAGTAGCCTTCGTGATAACATTCGTTTGTGGTTGAAGTATCTTCTTTCACGGATGTTGGATCCGAGGTCAGAATTGGTGATTTTGTTGTTCTTATAATTTCTGTTGTTTGTACTCCCACTATGTTTGTGGCTAATGTAGTTGTTTGTATTTCTTGCGCATTTTTACATCTCTTAACGGTACCTTTATGATTACAAGTTTGTGTATCGATGTCCCAAGCTGTACCTTCGCCACAGAAATAATTATATTTCTCAAATGTTCCACGATGATCAAGTACACAACGATAAAATTGACGGCAGTCATTAGGATTCGCATAATATCCTTCTGAATGGCATTCACTACTTGGTAATATATTCGATTCTGAACTTTCTGTTGGCTTGTGATTATTGTTTGCTATTATGTTCTGTTCTGTAGGTGTAGCAGTAGGTGATGCAATAAGCGTTGTAGTAAATATATGCGACTCAGTGACAGTAGATGTTTCACTACTACATGTGGAGTTATCATTTTCATGATCGCAAGCTTGGATATCTTGTACCCAAATAGTGCCTTCACCACAAGTAAAATCATATTGTATATATTTTCCTTCACCATTATTTACACATCGGATAAACTTTTTACAGTCTTTTAAGTTGGGATAAAATCCCTCCGAAAAACAAGTGTTATCCGTATTAGGTGATAAATCATCGTGTTTTACTGTGGTACCTTTTTCATTTAAATCCATATTTTGTTGGATATCTTGAGAATTTGCTGAATCAATGACTGTTACAGTTGTATTAGTTGAAGATAACATGGTACAATTGATGTTATCGGGAGATACATGATTACAGGCTTGTATATTTTGATCCCAAGCAGTACCTTCTCCACAAACAAAGTCGTATTTGAAAAATCCTCCATGTTGATCGGAAATGCATCTATAAAACCTTTTGCAATCTATTCGATTACCATAAAATCCTTCAGCTGTACAAACGTTATTAAGATGGGTGGATTTAATTGTAGTTTGGGCTTCGTGCTGTGGATAATTTGGCACAGTATGGTCATCAAGATTCCCCAGTTGCGTTGTTGTTACAATAGATGAAATATTACTATTAATAATTTCACACCCTTTTACAATAGTAATATAATTACATGCTTCTATACTTTGATCCCATGCCGTGCCCTCTCCACAGGAAAATTCGAAACGATTGAAACCACCTTGCTCATTTTCTACGCATCTATAAAATTTTTTGCAATCGTTTTTATCTGCCAAAAACCCAACCGAATAACATTCTTGACTCGTTGTGGAAACTGCTGTGCCCTCAGAAGATGACTGAATAGAGTTTTGTGCTGGAGGACTTTTTTCAATATTGTTGTATCCGTTGTTTAATTCATCATTTATAGAATTCGCCGTAGTTACTGATTGTGACGTAACGACTTCATGTTGTAATTCCAATATGCTACCGCATGTTTTAACTGTCCCAGCGTGATTGCATGCTTCTATTTCGGGATCCCAAACTGTACCCTCACCGCAAGAAAATTCATACTTCGTATAATTTCCATCGCCGTTTAATACACATCTATAAAACTTTTTGCAATTAGTACTATCTCCAATAAAACCGCTACTATTGCAAACATTTATTTGATTGTTTGTGCTAGTTAACTGATTTGCCAAATTTATTGTTGGAGTACTCTCCGTGGTTTTGACAACGTTATTTATTTGGATTGTAGTACCCTCGACATTTTTGTCCCTTTCAGTTAATGGTTGCTGTGAAGGTGTGGACCCATTTAAATTATTCATCCCGCATGTTTCCACAGCACGTAAATGATTACAAGCACTAATTTTTGAATCCCACGCTGTTCCATCACCACATAAATATTCAAATCGAATGAAACCACTATTTCCACTTTCAACACATCTGTAAAATTTTCGACAATCATATCGATCTGCCATAAAGCCATTTTCTTGGCATTGGTTGTGTGTAGTTGATGGTGTTGTATTTGGTACTGTCTCTTTGTGATAGCTTACATTCAAACCTACATCATTATCATTACTAACAAAACTAGACTGGATAGTCGTTTTTACAAATGATATCGTAGTTATAATAGTGGACTCTGTGCTTGGCGAAGTTAATTTTGTTTCAGTTTTGGAACTAAAAGCACAGTTCTTTACCAATATCGCGTGATTACATGCTTCAATACTTGCATCCCATGCGGTTCCGTCGTCACAAATATATTCCAGTTTAGTGTATCCTCCATTAACGTTTTCGATGCACCGGTAAAATCTTTTGCAATTTGTTTTGCTACCTATATATCCAGGGGATCTACACGTTTCTACACTTTGATCTAATGTTGAAGGATTTAAAAGAATCTCAGTCATTTCCGGTGAGGCAGTTGTTACTCTTGAAATATCTAGCGGGCCGTTTTCTTGTTCGAGGTTATAGCTTCCAACACTGTAAGGATTCCCTTCGCTTATAAAATTTGTCTCAGTAGTGCTATATTTTTCAGCGTGATAACTTTTGTCAGTAGTAGATTTATCATGAACTAATTTTCCACCACATTCTCTAACCAACCACGCGTGGTTACACGATTCAATCTGTTTATCCCATGCTGTCCCTTCACCACACAAAAATTCGTGCTTAGTATAGCTACCTTTACTATCTTGAACACAGCGATAAAACTTTCTGCAATCATTTGGATCACCTATGAAACCAGATTCTGTGCAAATGATGTCTTTTGCTTTGTTTGTTGAATAACTTGTACTATAATCACTGTAAACATAAGTACTAGATTTCGTAATAGATTCATGAAATTGTTTTTGTGCTTTACTTGTTACATCTGCATTGTAAGATGTAGATTGTGTTTGTTGTCTTTCTTTCCCTGGCATAAAACTTTCAGTATCTGATAAGTACTGGTTATTTACGACGTTTAGGTTATGATTACTTTGCAAGACATTTGTTTCTTTATCAAAACTTATACGATCGCCGTAATTAACATGTGTAGATGTAATGAATGTTGAATTGGTTTGTCCAATTGTGCTCGGCTTTTGCACATTATGACCTAATAATTTATCTACAGCAATAGTTTTGTTTTTTTTACCATAATTCTCATCATCAACATGAGAATAATGTTCTATAGCAGAAACATCACGTGCACATCTACGACGTCGCACAGCCCAAGGATGGTTGCAATTTTGCATATCATCGTCCCATATTGTTGTTTCACTACACATGAATTCATATCTTGTGAACCCTCCTCTCTGGTTGTTAACACACCTATAAAATTTTCGGCAGTCAATGTTATCACCCATGAATCCGTCATGGGTACATTTATTTTCATCCTGTTCGCTTGTTGAGTATATGAAATCTGGTTTATGTTGGTTGGTCCCGAAGACAGAAGTTGTCCATGGGTGAGAAGTAGATACAATAAAAGTTTTTGACGTTGGAGGTTCTGTGGCTTTGGTTATTTCGTGTCGCTGATGCTGTTCCATAGTCTTTTGTGTTTCACCAATTGACGATAAAGTCCCGTACTCGAATGGCGTAGTTGAATAGTATAAGTTTTGCGTACTACTGGACCCTACGCTTGATGCTCTGTCCATGATTAAAGGTTTTTGAGAGGTAATAGGGGAAGGAAATTCATGCGCAGACGAATCTAACTCATTTTCATTAGTTTGCTCAATGGGCGCTATAAAAAATTGATATGGTCTATAAGACCTGCATTCGGATCGTTTCGTGTTATGTGGATGATTACAAACTTCAGTATCAGTATCATAGACGGTGCCCGGGCCGCATTGAAACTAAAATATCAACATCAAAGCTTAATTAACCAGATAAACAATCAGAATAAATATATTTTTCAAATCAATAATTGTTACATACCCGAAGTACTGAATATTTACCACTCTTAGTTTTTATACAGCGGTAAAATATTGAACAGTCTACAGGATCCGCCCGAAATCCTTCATCAGTACATGTAATTGGCTCTGGATTGGATCCCGAATAAAGCTTAACTATACGTCCGGTGACACGTGGGTGACGGTTCTCATCTGAATTCGTTACTAAAAAAAGAGATAGGTAGACTAAAATTAAGCAATTTTTAAAGTTTTTGTGTAATGTATTTGCGTAACTACAAGAAATCATTTACAGATAAATGTATGGATAAATTTCAATAACTGGGTGAAATTTTAATACTCACCATTAATCGAACCAGATTCTACTTCTCTCAGAATCATAGTCGGGGTTAATAAAAGAATATACCATTTTATTATATGCCTTTTCATATTGATAAATAAAATGTTACGTTGGTATGTTACTGATATAAATCATAAGTACATCGTTATTCCTCGGTCTGTTTATCTGCAACAAGACAAAGATTATAATTACATCAAAGAAGTGACAATCGAAAAGCACAAAATAGATATCGTAATATATTTGCAATCGTCGTATTCGTAATTTAGTGAAAAAAAAATTACAAATATATCAATACTAAAAATACTGTGGTTGAGCAATAACAACCTACATAACAGCTTCTGCTGCAAGAGCAACAAAACTCAACGGCAAATACCACGGTCTCACAGGTCGACGTATTAGTATGTAGTTGTACTTAAGCTTTGCGTTTCGTCCGCTGAATAAGGTTTACCGGGGGCCCAATTTCCTTGGTTTTCACAAGCCTGCACATCTCTGTTGTGAGTGTCCATGGCGGCAGTCCTCACTCACCAACAGGTGAACTTCTTGCTCAGATGGCATTTCTTTGTAATAAAAAGCTAATTACCTATTAACATCGTCAAATATTACAAGGGACGGGTCGCAAAATGCGATAAGCGATTACTATTATTCCCTGTATTTATTAATCCATCTTAATATTAGATTATGTGGAAAAAGTGCAAAAGAACATAGTTTCATTTGGATAATTTGCAAAACGAAACTATATAAACTAAGTAAAACACGTAAACAGCACACAGGTCAATTTTGTTTATCGTTAGCATAAACTATCACTTTTTCGTTTATCCAAACGGGCTGCCGGAGATATCTTCGTCGCTTAGGCTGCCCATGTTTCGTTTAAATTATTAAATCCCTAAAATATGAAAGTTTATGTACCAATCCAACCGAGCTCCAGACAAAAACGTAAAAATGACAACTTGATGCCGCTATATTCCTTTTCATATCCGTCCGTTCTGTCCACGCATCGGCGCCATTATTTTATCTATATTTTTTAATTTTTTTCATTTTACGCAAATTTTACATATACATATTAAATGAAAGTAGTTTACGGATTTAATCGCGTTTTAATTTCGATTTTTAATTCCCGACGTTTCGAAATCTTTCCAGCGTTCATGGTCACAGGACAGACTGAATTGTTTTACGTCTGGATGAAGTAATAACAATCAGCCGTTCAGCTTAGTGGCTAAAGCGTCTGGGCGCGAATCCCGAAGACGTGGGTTAGATTCCCACAACGGAAAATCTTTTCATACTTTTTTGTACAAATTTTAACTTAAAACTGATGTTAGATTTAACTTTAATGATAACAAGTTTCCAAATAATACAATACGTCAATACGAAATAGTAAATGTAAGGGATTTACGCTATTTACGTAGGGAGTTGAATAAAAAAAAATAATTTCTAGCCTGCGTCATAGAGCTTAAATAGGATTTGCCTGTGGGCGACACATACTTAACAAGGTAGGTCACAAGCGTACGCAGTTATCTCACCCATTACCATGATCTTGGCAAGGATAAGCAAAGCTGTACTTTAAACGTGACTGTATTGTTGATAGACACCAGGAATTTCCTTCACTGTCGTTAAATGTGCCAAATTAGTGTACCTAATAAATTATTTTCGCCGGTGGTTTACCGTAAGTCTTATTTTGACAGGAACAAAATTTCGTCTACATTTAGGTAACCAATTGCCGTGTGTAATAGTTGCTTTGTGATTTGACTGCGATTTACTATTAATAACATTATTTAAAAAGCGATCTCAAAATTTCTAGGCTCAAATGTTCTCATATACCTACTCTTTTGAATATAATTTGTGCATTGATTGCCAAAAAAGATCATCGGATGGTTTGTTTCTCTCTTACTAGACTTACTTGTTTTATTTTTTCTGTACACACAATATTTCACCATTGAAATAGCTCTTGCCCCCCTGCCAGACATGTGATGCTAACAATTAATGTATTTAGTATCTTAGATATATTTTAATAAAAATAAATCTACATATTACAATTTTTTGGAAGAAACGAGTAGTTGAATACAACTACTCGTTTCTTCCAAAAATTTGTAAAGTATTTCAATAAAAAAAACTTAAGTATATTATTTGTCGACAATTTTGCAATTACATTTGGATTAAAAACTACTCTTGTTAATACGATTTATCATCATCATCCTCCTGCCCTTACCCACCTAGGCGGAGTTGGGTAACATGTGAATCATGTTATTTTGGCTATATCTTTCACGACCGCCAGCCTGACGTCAATCCTCCATGGAAAACCAACACTTAGATTGAACAATTATCGGTGGGTCACACAAATACTTGTCCAGTGTGGGAATCGAACCTATGACTGCCGACGCCGAAGACGATAGCTTGGCAACGGCGTCACCGAGTCATAACTCGCGTTAACACGATTATTACTTAGTTTTTGTTCATAAGTACTTCCAATTAATTAAATTTTAACCATTTTCCCCTTCGAGGAATAGTAATAGTTCTTTTGGCACATATTTACAACCAATCGCTACTTCGATTTTTAGCAACAGGTGGAATGGTATTAAAGCACTAGGCAATACTGACTAACAATACTACTTTCTTCCGGCCCAAAGAAATCAAACTAAAATTGAACAAAATCATGTACGTAACGTAAAATCCGAAACAAACTTTAATTGGTTGATTAAAAATAAAAAAGTCAGATTTTAACCTTTTTCAACTTTATATGCCGCGACTAATTTATCCCGCTTCGTGTTTTTTATCGAAGGGCCACATCACATTCAAAAAGTCTTAGGTACATACTAAATGTATTTCATTCTGATTAATTGAATCCGTTCACGTATATTTATTAGTTGTATGAAGATATATATTTATTTGCGGGCTACAGAAAGATAAGAACAATAATTGTAGTCGTAAAATTGGAACGTTTCCGTCATCGTTTCATTTACACGCTGAAAGGTATCTAAAACATAATGTAGAACAAGATCCCAACAACAATACAATACAGTCTCAAACAATAAATTTTTGACCCAAAGCGTTGGACGGAGATAAGGCCCAGTGACAGGTGATAAACCTGTCACCTTTAGCCGGGAGACAGTTATGTTTGATTCGGAAACAACTAAAGCTCATGGTATTCGAACTGACGACACCCAAGCTCGAGGATAAAAGCCACTAAGTATTCGCTGTCTCTTGTCCACTTTTTCTCTCTTATCATTTATCCTTTTCATTCGTAAATAATTGCAGCGATTTCTTTTACGAGAGGCAAAGAAATGCAACAGTGATCTCGTACGCATCCAATTATGTTACGCAAAAAAAAGAAGATTCCAGAGTCGATCGTACTTGCCAACCGTCCTCCAGCATTTGGAAAATAAGGCAATAAAAATTAACCATATGAAATGAACGGTTAAGCATAAGTGATATATTCACACCGATACTTCAAACGGTCAGCAATTTCATTAATTTTACAAGCGTGCAATCTTTTCGTTGAGTTCGCGTTCATTTGCAGGCGAAGTAAGGTTCGTAGTATGAATCTGCAAAAAGGATCTACCGAACTTGCTAGTTGCTATTTTGAGCTCAAGTTTACAGCACGTTGTTTTTTAAAGGAACATGCTTGGAAACTGATTACGGTGATCCCTTATCGTTTTATAACTTATAGTTGAGCCTAATTGGTAGTCCGTCATTTAGTATTTATTTAGCAGCAGCTTTCATATATTTACTTATATGACAACTTATTGTATAAAGAAGTACAAAAAGCAGCTTTAATGCAAGCAGCTTTAACTCGTCAGCCGGAAAAGTTTGTGGTGAGCCTATGTCATTTTTACATAAAAATACACATGAGAATGTAGATACGTAAATAATAAAATACGAATACATTAATAAATATTTCATACGAATAAGCCATAAATCAACTGGAAAATTTAGGTTTAAGATTTTCTTTCGCGATTCTAGATAAATAAGCTCTAAGTCACTCACAAAAGAGCACGAAGCTTATTGTAATTTATCACATTACAAATAGTAAGCGCGTTGCCTTACACATGGTTAGAAATGAGAAAAAGGAAAAATTCATCGGTCCAATACTCTGGCATTTGACCCGCGACCTAAGAAAACAAAAGGCTAACGTCCATTATTAAGAGTATTTTTAGCATTATATACTTATTGTTCATCCTACAATTGTTTCATTCCAACGCATCCAGTTAATAGAACTCTCAGGACTAAAAGGACGTCCAAAGTTTGTATCCGAGTGGATTAAATCTGATTTTTTAACATAATTATACTACCAGTACGCCAATACAGTGTTAACGATGTTAACTCTGTACTCAAAAGTTGTAAAGGTTCTTGCTTAAGTAGATTAAATTTGATATGGTTACGATGTGTTATATCGCCCATTATTAAATCATTTAAATTCTCCCTAAAAGAGCGCTTAGGTACTGGTTCATCTAAGCAAAAATCGAAATCGACCCCATTATTTACGATACGTGATCGATATCAACAGTTCTTCGACCTCAACAATGGATTACACGACTTCCGCGTTTTTAGCGCCGCAAATCCGCAAATAAAGGCATTCAAACCGCGTGCGCGCCCCGATAAAGTACAAATCGGACGACGTGTTCGTGGCGGTCGCATACAAAACGAGGAGCGGCGGTCACAATGCTGAATTTGCCGCACACCGGAGCGACACGACCCTTCGCGGCAGCTTAATAATGCGTTTTGTTAAAGAAAAACAAAAAAAAAACGTTCATCGTTCCGTCCGAATGTTTTTTCTAAACCTTTCGCTTGTTCCTCCACTTCAAAAGACGAACACCGAACACTAATTGAAATATTGTAGTGTTTAGGCAAAGCTATGAGGGTTTTTCAGATTTTCGTTTCGGAGTAGGTCTGAAGAAACGAAATCCTTTGTTCTGATATTATAATTATAACTATTTCGTACGCCCATTTTCCGTTACAATCACACTTGTATATGTAGTCTCGCGTGTGTTACTCAAGTCGGGCTGACACATATACCTACTTAGTAAATAATGCCATTTATACGGTATAC